CCATACGTACTCTGATAAAAAAAAAAAATCAATGTCATTTCCTAATCATGACTTTCAAGTATCTCATAATAATGAGACACTACCTCATTAAAATGAGATAGTGTCTCATAATTATGACTTAGCTATATCTTAATTATGAGATTCGAGATACTAGCTCATGAGATGTTTCCTGACTTAGCTACCAGTATCGGTATCGGTGCATCCCTAATGTATACACGTCTGTAGTCACTGCAGAGCTGACAGAAGCTATTGTGCTGTGCTTACAGCTCGCTATGTTACTCCTCACAGTTATATGACTTAAATGTTGCTACATCAGTTAAAAATGCTTGCAGAACTTCAACAAATGGCTCAGACTTTTTGCTGCAGCTGTAAACACTGTTTTCTGTAATCATTAAGAGCTCAAAGTTAAACAAATTACACCTAATCATGTAGCGTGGGCAGCAGCAGCTGCCTTGTAAGATGTCTTTGAGAGTGACATATGCAAATCACAGTTCTTCAGAGTTTAGAGGAGAGAATTTTGATTTTCTATAATGATTTCTGACAAAAGTGTTTAACAACATGTAAAACAAACCCTGTTTACTTTTTTTAGATGATAAAGTGTAGTTAAACTGAGTTTCTACAAAGTTCATGCAGTCTTGCCAATACCTTTAACTATGTCAATCTTCATGAGAAGTGTGTGTTGTGTAATATCTCGTATTTCATGGATTTGTTCCCCTTTTTGTTTCTTAATACTGCTAATGTACCACAACTTCCTCAATATAGACAAATTTCCGAGGAAGAAACAAAAGACACATAGATAACGTGAAGAAGCACATGAAGAAATGTAGATTTCTTGGAAATACCATTAAAAATAACATAAAATCAAGGTCATGGTCAAGGTCACATTTATTTCTAAAGCACACTTATTATTGCTTCCGCAACCCAAAGTGCTGTACAACACAGAATATAAAATCACAAACAAGTATACTTGTGAGTCTGGTTGATAAAATATAGTAAATCTTTTAATGATTTTGTATCAGGACCTCATAAATACATGTTTATTTTTTTCATCAGTTTGTTGTGTGTCAACTCCTAACCTTTGTCACTTGTACAACCAACAGTTACTTTGATTTTCAATAAAATGCATTTATTGATTTTAGGTCCAGCAACAATTATATGGTATTTCTTCTGGACTTTCTTATCAGAGGTGCTACATCACAGCTGGTGATATTATTACTTGTAAATAACTACAGAATCTAATTATAACATTTCCTTGCAAAGCTGATTTTTGTAAAGATTTATAAAACTGCATGAACTGATTAGAAATTTTTAAGACTGGGTGTTTCTGGTGGTTCTTAGAATATCTAAAAATAGGATGGGAGGCAGATCTTTTAGTCATCAGTCTCCTCTCATGTGAACCAGTAGTGATGTGTGGTGTTTTTTCTTGGAATGCTGTGTTCTTTTACCCCCATGCATAACACCCCTTGTTATGCCAAAACCACTCAATTTTAGTTTCATCACTCCACAGCGCTTTTATTCAAAAATGGCTTGTCCAAATGTGTTTTACGATACATTGAGCACCTCTGTTTGTTCTTTGGGCAAAGAAAATCCTTCCTCTGCATCACTCTCACATTCAGCATCTCCTGCTGTAAAGTGCGCCAAATTGTTGACCGATGTACAGTGACATCAGAAAGATGATGTTGTAGGTCTTAGGTGCTGGTCTGTGTGTTGACTCTGACTGTTCTCACCGATGTTGTAGGTCTTAGGTGCTGGTCTGTGTGTTGACTCTGACTGTTCTCACCATTCTTTGCTTCTGTTGATCTGACATGTTTCTTGGTCTGCCACTTGGAGCCTTAACCTGAACTGTGCCTGCGGTCTTCCACTTCCTCAATATGTGCCTAACTGTGGAAACCGAAGCTGAAATCTCTGAGACAGCTTTCGGTATCTTTCCCCTAAACCGTGATGGTGAACAATTTTTGTTTTCAGGTCATGTGAGAGTTGTTCTGAGACCCCCACGTTGTTACTCTTCAGAGAATTTTCAAAGAGGAGGGAAACTTACAACTGGCCCCATTAAATACTCTTTTTCCTATTTGGATTCACCTGTGTATGGAGATCAAAGGTCACTGAGCTTACCAAACCAATTTTGAGTTCCAATAATTAGTTCTAAAGATTTTGGAATTAATTCAATGACAACAGTGCCCATATTTATGCACCTGCCAAATTTTGTTGAAACAATTATTGCACATTTTATGTAAATCCTACTAACTTTGTTTAATTTCTCAAATATCACTGTTTGTGTCTCCTTAACTGAAAATTTATCATAACAAAACAAAAAATTAAACAGGAAAAACATGGAGATTAACAAGGCTGCCCAAACGTTTGCATCCCACTTTACTGTATTTACTATTGTGTTTACATTGGTTTAATGTGTTTCAGCAACTTAACGCGGGAAAATACGTCCCTCATTTCTCTCCACCATTTCATTTGCTCACCACCTCTAAACCCACGTTTTCCACAAATAAAATACTCTCACCATGTTTTTGTTGTGGCAGTGTGAGCGTCCTGCCACTGTGACCCGATTGATCATGTGCCCTGGCTACTTGGCCAAGGGGATGTCCCTTTGGCTGACTGGATAGCGTGCATGACTCTCAACTGGGAGTCTGGGGATTGAATCCCGCCCGTCCCTCGTTTCTCCACCTTGCCACATTGTGCTCCTTCATTCACTGTTGTATAAACTTTCATATTTCTGGACTTTTTCCGCAAGGCTTAACCCTAACCATGCCATCAGCTTCTGGAGGGTGCCGAGCCCTGCTGCGGGCCAGGTCCGACCCAGGTTTCAGCTCCCCCACCCCGCAGGGAATTAAAGACACACTGCCATCAGCTTTTGGAGGCTGCTGAGCCCTGCTGCAGGCCAGGTCCGACCCGGGTTTCAGCTCTCCCACCCCGCAGGGAATTAAACACACACAGCCATCAGCTGCTGGGCACGGCTGCTCCTCCACTCCACCAACTCCTGCTGGGCATGGCTGCTCCTCCACCCTGCCATCACCTGCTGGAGGCTGATGCTCCTCCACCCCGCCATCACCAGCTGGAGGCTGCTGCTCCCCCACCCCGCCATCACCAGCTGGAGGCTGCTGCTCCTCCACCCCGCCAACTCCTGCTGGGCATGGCTGTTCCTCCACCCCGCCAGCACCTGCCTGCTGGGCACGGCTGCTTCTCCACATTACCATCATCTGCTGGGCACGGCTGCTCCTCCACCCCGCCATCACCTGCTGGGCACGGCTACTCCTCCACCCCACCATCACCAGCTGGAGGCTTCTGCTACTCCACCCCGCCATCACCTGCTGGGCACGGCTGCTCCTCCACCCTGCCATCACCAGCTGGAGGCTGCTGCTCCTCCACCCCGCCATCACCAGCTGGAGGCTGCTGCTCCCCCACCCCGCCATCACCAGCTGGAGGCTGCTGCTCCTCCACCCCGCCAACTCCTGCTGGGCATGGCTGCTCCTCCACCCCGCCAGCACCTGCCTGCTGGGCACGGCTGCTTCTCCACATTACCATCATCTGCTGGGCACGGCTACTCCTCCACCCCACCATCACCAGCTGGAGGCTTCTGCTACTCCACCCCGCCATCACCTGCTGGGCACGGCTGCTCCTCCACCCTGCCATCACCAGCTGGAGGCTGCTGCTCCTCCACCCCGCCATCACCAGCTGGAGGCTGCTGCTCCCCCACCCCGCCATCACCAGCTGGAGGCTGCTGCTCCTCCACCCCGCCAACTCCTGCTGGGCATGGCTGCTCCTCCACCCCGCCAGCACCTGCCTGCTGGGCACGGCTGCTTCTCCACATTACCATCATCTGCTGGGCACGGCTACTCCTCCACCCCACCATCACCAGCTGGAGGCTTCTGCTACTCCACCCCGCCATCACCTGCTGGGCACGGCTGCTCCTCCACCCAGCCATCACCTGCTGGAGACTGCTGCTCCTCCACACCGCCATCAGCTGCCTGTGGTGCACCGCTGATGACCAGCCCAGGTCTCACCTCTCCCTGCCCGCCCTGGATGCACCTCCACCCACCCAGGCTGAAGCTTCCCCCTGCCCGCTGCACGTCCTGCCGGCCTCTGCCCGGTCCCCTCTCTCACCTGCATCACACCCAGGCTCATCAGGCTCCCCCATCCCCGCAGCCTTCTCCCACCCACACTCAAAAGCATCACACCCAGGATCAGGCTCCCCCAGCCAGCAGCCTTCTCCCACCCACACAGCCTCTCCAATGTCATCCACACCTCCAGGAAACCCACCCTCAGCATCACCACCCACCCCCCAACACGCTCACCCTCACCCGGCTGCTACCTGGGACAGACCCGGGGAATGGACCATGGAGGACCAGGCCCACCACTCGAACCCACTATTAAGCACCCTCCCCTGGGTTAAAGACCCCAGTCCACGCCGGCTGGACCTCCAGCAGCCTGGTCATCCAAATCGAATTTCGTACGTCTGGTCATCCATTCCAGCTTCTGTGTGCTGACACTTAGAAAAAGTTCAACACTTCAATCAAATGGCAAATTTAGCCATTTGCCCTATGTTTGTCCATCAAATGGCGATTGCCAATTCCTCTACATTTGACTGCCAAATGGCACTACCCATATATTAGTCCATAAACTGGCAAATGATAGCTGTTGTGTATTTTTATTTATTCAATCCAGGCGTACCTCAAAGAAAGACCAACACACGTAAAGGGGTTAGAAATACCATTTATCAATAAACAGCAAAATTACTTTGCAAAGGGTGAGAGAATGACTACGTTTACATGCAGCCAATATCCGGGTTAAGGTCGGTATTCGGGTTTCTGAGTTGATCAGAATAACCCGTTTACAAGCATAAATAGAAATAGTTACCCCTAACTTGCATAACCCGATTTAAATGCGGACGTTGGGGTAGCGTCAAGACGTATGGACTACTTCCAGACGCAATGTGCCTTATTTCCGGTTCTTCTTGTTCCGGTATCCATGAAAACAACATGTTTCCCAGTTCGGAAGAGATAGCGACCGCGTTTCTTTGCGCTTTAGTTTCTTCGTCACTCCAAAAGTGTGGTGCTGTGCCGCGACTCACCATTTTGCTCCCATCTTGTTGTTTACTTCCGGTGTTCTGGCGCATACAAGACGTCTCTCTACTCAAAAGACCAAGATTCCTTGTGAACAGAGCATGCGCAGAACACACGCTTTGATGGGGATATCCCGATATGCGTTTACACGACCAAACATTCGGGTTAGAAAAGGGTTACCCCAGGTGTAGTAACCGGGTTTTTAAAAACCCGGTTATGAGCATATCCGGGTTTTTGACGGTGTTTACAAGGACCTACGGAACCGGGTTATTGTGAATATTCGGGTTTTAAAAGGGTTACTGGCCGCATGGAAATGCACTCAATGACACACAACGGAGTCACAAGCCAATTTGCTCTCACACAGAGCCAAGGCTGGGGACTTTATTTGGGAGCACACACACCAAGTTAGAGATAAGTACATACACAAATTCTTCACAGACACTCAACTTTGGAGAAGAGTCTGCAGGCAGTCATAAACAACACATTGGTTTGGCTTGGAGCCTTCCCAGGACCTTCTAATCATAATAGGATGCACTGAGTGATGAACTCTGTTTCGAAAGAATACATAGGTGAAAATCAATTTTTACCTAACAATATTATATTATACTATATTATATTATACAATATTATTTATACTAACAATATACGTATATTTCCCCTACATTTGACCATCAAATGACAATTGTCAATTCCCCTACATTTGTTCACCAAATGGTAATTGCCAATTCCCCTATATTTGCCCATTAAATGGCAAAGTATTGCCAATTCCCCTTCAGTTGACCGCCAAATGGCAAATCATTGCCATCTGCCCTACATTTATCCATTAAATGTCAAATGTAGCCATTTGCCCTACATTTGTCCATCAAATGGCAAATATAGCCATTTTCCCTACATTCATCCACCAAATGGCAATTGCCAATTTCCCTACATTTGACTGTCAAATGGCAAATCATTGCCATTTGCCCTACACTTGTCCATCAAATGGCAATTGCCAATTTCCCTACATTTGACTGCCAAATGGCAAATCATTGCCAATTCCGCTACATTTGCCCATCAAATGGCAAAGTCTTGACAATTCTCCTACACTTGTATGACAAATAACAATGCTTTGTCATTTTCTTTACATTTGTACAGGCAATGACAAAGTATTGTCATTTTCTTTAAATTTGTATGTAAAATGACAAATTTCTGCCAATTTGTTAAGCCAATGGCAAATAATTGCTACTTTACCTACATTTGTAGGGGAAATGTCAATCGTTTGCTAACATTACAATGGAAAAGGTCTAAGCGTAGTAAATGACTGCTAAGTGTGTATGAAAAACCAAACAGATTGTTTTCAAACACTGCTTTATTAGCAGGGAATAAAAATAAAACAAACCACACAACAACAAACAAAACCACAAAGTGGCATAAGTTCACAAACAACAAAAAACAGCAACAGGCTGCAATCTTAAGTAACTGACATTAAATTTTGGTGTCAAACACACCTACAAACACTTTTTTGATTTAAAACGGGGCAACTGCCTTGCCTGCTCCTTCTTCTTCTTGGCCGTGATTTTAAGAGGGCTCAGGACTACTTTCGGAAACTGACGCTGATGTGTGTAGGAAAACAGAAGCCATTAGTTGTTTCCAAATAGGAAAACAGAAAATGATCAAAAATATGAAATGACCAATGCTTACCAACACTGGCTTGTGGCTTCGTCTGGTTATTTTCTGTGTGCAATCATGCAAAAGATACATGAAAAAATTCAAGTTTAGAAATGACAATACAGCTCAATGACAGATTAATACTTTTTCAATTGTACTTACAGATGGCCCCATGTACGGCTCAGGCTCCTGTGGTTGTCCAGCCTTACAGTGGAACACAATAGTGATAAGGTCATCATCATCATCATCATCATCATCATCATCAGGATCAGGTATGCAATTTCGACTGAAAGAACTCACCTCAGAAGGTTTCACTGGCAGCTGTGGGGCGGTGGGCTCCTGCTGCGCGCCTCTGACAGGTGTGCTTGTCTGGAGAAAGAACACATAATGCAATCGTCGTGAAGCTGTGTCGGAGGGTGACAGCGTAGGACAACCGAGGCCGGGTTCAGTTAAACAACGGCGACTGAAGGAACTCACAGCAAGAGGAGGAGGTTCCACCGGCAGCTCTGGGGTGGTGGGCTCCGGCTGGGTGCCTCTGACAGGTGTGCTTTGCTGGATAAAGAACAAATAATGCAATCGTCATAAAGCTGTGAGGGAGGGTCACAGCGCTCAACAACGCACATCCGTTCAGAGTGCGAATGAACTTACACCAGGATGGTCGTGGTCTCCTTCCTCCTCGGCAGACTCAGAGCTACCGCTCTCTTGGTAGCTCATGTGCCCTTCAGTCTCCGTTTCTGTGCTGCTGCTTCTGTCCCGCCCCCGCCGCCGCTGAGTCTTCCTCACCGGAGGGAGCTGATGAGTGAGGCCGGAGGTGTCCTCGGTTCTGGGATCTGTCCGGGACTCCAAGGACATGTCCAAAGGAGCCGGGTCCTCCTGGGTGTAAGTGGCCTGCTCAAACATTCCCCGCAAGGCGGCGCACTTTGCCGGGTCCAGGACGACAGCATAAAACGTGTCCGCCATTCGGACGTCATGGCACATGGTCGCCGAGATGAGTTCCCGGACCTGGGGTACGTGCCTTTCCTTTGCCTGAAGCCGTGAAGCAAAGAAGAGACGTATGAAAATGCAGTGAGTATTTTTGTCTTTAGTCCAGCAAAGAACTTGTTAGCTGGGGTTCTTTAAGAGCTGTTCTACACACAGTGCGACATAAAGAGTGACCCGTCAATGCCGGTAAACAACTCACACCGGTCCTCAGGTCGGTGAAGGTGGGCTTCCCCGAGAGTCCCATCTCCTCACACGCCGCCTGCATGTACCGGACAAGATTTTTGTTTGGCTGTGCCGTTGCCCCGAAGAAGAACAGGTCCCCTTCCGGCTTCAGCTGCCTTCTTATGGCCAGCCACCTCTCCATCCAGGAGAACTCGTCTGGATGGAGGAAGACCTGGGTGCAGCCAAAAAAACGATTGGTTTTGTGTTCCGCGATCTGCAACAGAGGACACCTTGGCGTTAAACTTGCGAGAAACAAAGCTCAAAGCAAAGACAAAGGAGTGTTTTTCTACTCATGTTGATGACAAAGCCGGGGCTGTCGTCCTTGGCATTCTTGCGGGCATTCATCACCTCCGTCACAGTCATGTTGGCGATGACGCCCGTCCTGTGTCCGTAAATGGAGGCGACGAATGTCGCCAAGTACCCGAAAAACCGGTAGCGGCCTTTATTGTCTGTGGGTTCGGTCTCGAGTCGTTCTGTGAAGATCAAACACAAGTGAGCTCTGTTTAACATCTCCGCTCGACAGAATCCGTCACCCATCGTTACATCCTCCAAAGCATAAACACCAATATCAACAATTCTTACCCAGCAGCTGAGGAATCTTGTCACGGCAGTGCTGCCGGCAGAGGTTGAGGTCGGCCACGGAGACGACACGCATCTGTTTGGCCTCCTTGACCTTCATCTGGTGCACACTCACGTCTCGGAGGAGAGGAGTGATGCACTGCAGGATGGCACGCATCACTGCCGTTATCTGTGCCCCCTTCAGCCGGCAATGAGGTGGCGGTGTTTCTTTAAAGTACCTTAGGAACAAATAAACATTCCTAAGGTAGAAGGTTATGGTGGTCACCTTCTTACCGCACCTCTTTAGTGACCAACCCACCTGAAGAGAACACAATAGAAATAGCTCAACACTTTTGTTTTTCTTTGTGATTTTGACTAACTGCAGGTGATGTACACTTACTCCATGACGCGCTCCGTCCGCGTCAGGAAGCTCCAGTCCCACAGGCGAAGGGCCCCCACCGCCATGAAATTGAGGAACCTCCTGATCCGCATTACCTTTGAGGCCACATTGTCGATCTGTTTTTTGGACTTGTGTATGCCTCGGAGGAAAGCCCAGTAGTCGTCCAGGTACTCTTCTGTGGAGAAATGTTCACATAGCAGTTAAGAAGTATGAATCCTTGGGAATAACATTCATCAAGACGTGAGGTAAACAGACATATGAAAACTAACCCATTAGTGAGGAGAAGCCCGACAGCAGCGAGGCGGGGTTCTGGCGAGGCGTCTCCTTCCGTGGCGGCTGGGACGGCTTGGGGGACTCCTATGGTGGCGGGCTGCCACCGGTGTGGCGGGTTTTGCGCGTCTTCTTGGACGGCGGAGGAGAGTCTGGTCCTTCCCTCCGGCCAGAGGAGGGGGCCACGCTGCCGGCCAGTCCTTTCGCCGACTGACAAGCAGCAACCGGGGGCGTCTTTGGTTTGGATGGACGGTGGTGGTGATGGAGATGATGGTGGGGAGGGTGTTGGGGATAACTGAAAGTGTGCTGGTGGTGGTGATGGTGATTGGCGGGAGGGTGATGGTGATTGGCGGGAGGGTGATGGTGATTGGCGGGAGGGTGGTGGTGATGGGTGGGAGGGTGGTCGTGATGGGCGGGAGGGTGGTGGTTAAGTGGAGGAGGGTGCAGACGAAGACGACGCCGGCGAGAAAGGAATGGCCACGCTTCTTCTGGCCTCTCGCTGACGAGTTCGTCCGGACAGCGGTTCTCCGGCCCGCTTGGAGGGCGGGCGTCTCCCAGCCGCGTGCAGACGTGATTGGCGGGAGGGAGGTGGTGATGGGTGGGAGGGTGGTAGTGAAGTGGAGGAGGGTGCTGACAAAGACGACGCCGGCGAGGAAGGTGGCGATGGCGAGAAAGGTGTGGCCACGCTTCTTCTGGCCTCTCGCTGACGAGTCCGTCCGGACCGCGGTTCTCCGGCCCGCTTGGAGGGCGGGCGTCTCCCAGCCGCGTGCGGACGTCCTCCCGGCCGCTGCTTTGGTCCACGGGAGGTGGACGGACGAACCTCAACCTCCTCCTCCGGTAGAGGGAGGTGTTTGGTTATTTTCTTAAAAAAAAAAGAAAAGAAAAAGAATCAAAATGATTATTACATGTCAATGTCACTGTCCAGTTTATTAATATTCATTTCCAGCAGTCAGAGACAGCGCAAAGTGCTGTACACAGACCATCAGAAAAAATTAAATGATAAAACACGTGGTTTAAAGGAGCAACTTGATCACGTGCTTGCTGAGTATTATTTCGTGACTTAAATCGAATTTATAGGCATGTGTAACTCACAGTCCCAGCCCTCCTCTCGAACTTGGCCACCCTCCGGTGGTAGAGGCGGAAGGTCTTGCGCAGGTTGTCCAGCTGCCGCTTCACACCCTCGTATTTGCGCTGGAGGGTGTTGCAGCCCCGACAGCTGGCCTGCGGTTCTGCCTCCTCATCGGACCACATGTCAGGGTCGTCGTCCTCATCCTGGTCCAGCTGGATCACCATGGGAGGGTGAGGGGCAGTGGCCCTGAGGTCTGCCAGCTGGCGGACGGTGACCCGTTTCTGGACCGACTGAACAGCCCAGTCCAGCAGCTCCTCGGTCAGCTCCAGGTGGCATGTCCCCAGGTGTCTGTCGCACCTGGATGACTGGTACCGGCAGCCAGAGACGGGGCAGGGCTCATACCGGTAGAACACCCGCTTGTTCGCCAGCTTCAAAAGAAGCTGACGCTCCCCGGGGTTGACCACCTTGTGGGATCTCTTGAGGTGGTGTGGCAGCGCCGCAAAAGGTCGGCCACAGATGGGGCAGTTGGCATATTTGGATGGCATGGTTACGGTTTGTTTTAACGATGTCAGTGTGTCTAAGGAAGGGAAATAGAAGACCGTGTTAATTTTTGACCCTTGTGTGAAGCTACACAAAATCACAGAAGTGTCCTTGTCCAGTAAATGCTTTGTTCCACACCAAATCCTGTGTAAACACTGATGTGTGCTCATGTCAAGCTGTCATAAATGTAATAACACAGTGTAACAGCTAACCTGTTGAGCTTATTGCAAGGAACTACAACTTTAATATGACAAAGACTACAAAATGACAACCTCTAGTGGCTAAAAACCTTTGCTTTGCTTTAAGAGAACTTCCTGCACAGCTTATTAAAAACTGCAAACACTTTTTGAAATGTTATGCATTGTATTCATTTATATTTATAAAACCTGTAGTTTATCTGTGTGTTGTGCTGCTCTTCTTGAGAAGAGTTAAGATGGCGCTCGCGCGGGTGCACGCTGCGAGCTGCTCGTCCTCTTTACGCAGTGGTACCTTTCTATTTACTGGCTTTTTTGGCATTTTATTGGCTTTTATGCATTTTTGTTGTCTCTGATGCTTTTTTTGAATGGTGTGGATCCTCTGCTGACTTACGATCGAGCCACGCTGCTGAGGCTTCGTCCTCCCGTTGATGTAGCGGGCTCCGCGAGCTGGGAACCTCACGGATGGTGCTGCTGGTTGGACTGCCCGTGTCCTCTCTCCCCCAAGCCATGATGTGTCTGCCCTCTGTCCGCCCCAGCTCGAGAAGGAAGCATCGGAGAAGACGGGGAAAGAGAGGTAGCCGGTGCGTGAGACGTCGGCCTGGATCCCTGAAGAAGCGGCTGGCCCGATTCGGCCCAGCTTCTGACCCTGTGGTTCCGAGATGTCTCCTGGATTACTCTGCGCCCTGCCCAGGGAACTTGGCCGGCTCTGAGGGTGAACTGGCACCGCGCCACGGCCGATCGGCTCGAAGATCTCGCTAGACTGGGGTTTGCTGGGAGAATCTGCGCTCGGTTACGGGCACAGAGTTAAAGGAGACTGTGCTCGTGCGCAATCTCGGTGCTGCAACCCCGCCGCAGACCTGGTTTGGTCTGGTCAATGCCAGGTCTGTGCTGAATAGGGCCCGACCGATATGCTTTTTTTGGGACCGATACCGATATAAAACTTTTAACAAAGGCCGATAGCCGATATAATGGCCGATAAATCTCCCTCACAAAAAAATAAATACAAATGTTCTTAAGATTAAACCCTTCATTCTCTGCCTTTTTGATGCTAACTTATTTCTATATTGCACACCAAAGAACTGTCTCAATAACTCACTAGGGTTTCCAAGTAATGCAAATAAGATTTATTTTGCTATCTCAAAAACAACAGAACACACAAACTACTACTGAAGATGAGCAGATGCTGCAGATTACATCACCGGATGGATCTTTAGTGAACTAGGCCCTCTTTTTCCATCTGTAATAAAATAATCAGCATAAAAGTACAGTTATATATCTGTTGATACCAAGCATAGGCGTCATTTTAACCGGGGACGCCGGGGACATGTCCCCGGCAAAATTTGTGATAGGCAGCTGTGTCCCCCCCACTTTCAAAAAAGCCTGCTGATGAGGATTTTTGTTTTACCAGCTCAGGTCTCATGGGGGGATTCAACACCCACACTTTTCCAGCTGTTTTGCTCACCTCCACACCAGTCTGGTTTCTTTATGTCGCACTCACTCTGTTTGCCTCATCTCCTTCTTCCTCTCCCTCTTCTGACAGCCGATGTCGGGTTTCCAGGAGAGCAGGAGAGGGAGGGACGGAAGAGCTCGACTGAATTCATATTTTTACATCTTGACATTAGCTGTACAAAGTCTGAGTTTGATAAAGTGAAGAACAACCATTTGCAGAGGTTTATAACAGGCGCGGCGCCAGGTTTTCATTTTTGGGTGGGCCACGGTAATTTTGGATGGACCTTAATAAGCAGTGACTTAAGTGAAGCAGGCAGGTCGCGCTAGAAAATTTCGTTTAAAAAGACGTCATAAATGTGTTCCCCCGTCATTTTTATTTCTAAAATATGAAGTAAAAACTCCCAATTTAATTTTCATTCATTTGTCATTAATATGTAGTCTACACCCGTGCGTTAAGTGGACCAACTTCCAGTAAAAGCAAAGCTTCCAGCCCACCTCTCCAAATGCGTAAAATATGCACCACAGCCGTTAGGCGCGCCGCGCGCACCATCAGCTATGTCAGCCCAGACAAGAGCAGAGCGAATAGAGAAAGAATAGAGGATAATTGTGTCTGGATGTGGATGGAGATTACATTTTACATCAGCCTGATCATCATTTAAATACGTAAACCATCACCTGTCTTCTAGTCCACGCTTTCAGCATTATTTTAATTGGTGTGTGTGTGTGTGTGTGTGTGTGTGTGTGTGTGTGTGTGTGTGTGTGTGTGTGTGTGTGTGTGTTCCACTTCAAACACTGGTCTAACCAACCAGACCAGCGTGTCCAGTAACATATTAATGTTACAATTAAACAGTTTCACTTCATGTAGGCTAGGAACATTCCACCTGCCGTGGCCTGACCGCTTCTGCTCCACATAAACTTTGTGCGTAATCAAATGTCTCTACAGGTGCTTTCTGAGCTGAAGAGCTATTCTGCCTCAGACTGGATGCGTCATGCGTGTCCATATTAGAGACGGGAACAAGTGCTGTTCAGCCAAAGTTTCATAATTTCATAAAAAGGACATTTTTCCAGGTGACACATCCCTCAGAGAGACCGGGTTTCCAGTATCGCGTTTAAAGCGTGCCACAACCCGTGCACGCGCATTGGGTCCACAGCGCGCGTGTGAACAGGACTCGCGAGCGAAAATACACATGGCAGCGCGCGCTGTGAACGGGACTCGCGAGCGAAAATATACATGGCGAGAGGTCATTTGTGCACTGAGAGGGAGCAAACTGTGTCTGTGAGCGCACAAGGATGTGCACAAGTGACAAACCTGCGTGCGCGCGTTGCCAACGAGCACACGGCAGAGGAAAACGTGCGCGCGCGGCAGCCTCTGTGCGCGCTCGGTTTCTAATTCCGCTCGCTCGGCTGTGAGGAGTTTTGGCACTCTGGAGGCGTGGCCTGTGGCAGATCTTCCCTATCCTCTGATTGGTTAGTTTACCCCGCACTTTACTCTCTAGCTATCTATATAAAAAAATCTGATATTCAGCAGTTGCTGGCATAGCTCAGCTGGGAGAGCGGGCGACTCTCACTCTGGAGGATCCAGGTTCGAGTCCGGCCAAGTAACATAGAGTTGATGTCATATTATTCTTTCCTAATTCCTGTGATATTATTTTACAGTTGTGACCGTTCAACTGTCATTAAATGTCCGAATGTTTGCTGGGCAGTGTTTTAAAAAGTGCACATAAGCTAGATGGTTTTAACCAGGTAAAAATAGACTTGTGGGTGTAGGTATGTTCAAGTTTAAAAAGTTCTTGCCTCATTAATGTATTGTTTATTTTTTTCAGCATTTAATTGACAAATTATCCTTTCAAATAATTAATTGATGAGTTACATAATTGTCCATTTAGAATTGTTGAATGGACTGAGTCAAGTTTGGTGCACTTTATATATTTCAAAACATGTTTTTTTTTATTATGCATATAAATAATTTTAATGTTAATTTATTGAAATATTTCTATTTCTTCATTACCATACCCTTGTTTTGACAAAAACAAGACCTTGCTGGATAATATCATGGAGAAACTATTTGTTCACAGCACATGGCTCAGTGAGGATCTGTATACCAAAGGAGGAGATGCTCAGAAATCTGTCTGCAGATTGATACAACCCAGACTGGAATTGGTGGGCTGTAATAAGAAAGGAGACCAAACAGAGGAGTGGGGGTTCAACAACTGATTTATTTAACCATAGTAAGGATTTACTAAAGCAGATCAGTGCAGTCAAGAATTACTGGTGTTTGGGTAGTCCTGAACGTGTTGTGATGCCCCCACCGTCTCATTGGGTTTTCATTTGTGTTTAATTGTTTTTCTTCTGTTGTAGGCAGCTCGTTAAGCAGCCTTGGAGGCACCTGGGCTCAGGGTGTGGTGCTGCCTACAAAGCCTACTGTTTTTCTGCTTTCACTGGGTCTCTCCTGTGTGGTGGAGAGTCCTCACTGGCCATTTTCTGTTCATTAACTTGCTTTAGTAAATCCTTACTTTTGTTAAATAAATCAGTTGTTGAACCCCCACTCCTCTGTTTGGTCTCCTTTCTTATTACAGCCCACCACTTCCAGTCTGGGTTGTAACAATCTGCAGACAGATTTCTGAGTATCTCCTCCTTTACACAGATCCTCACTGAGCCATGTACTGTGAACAAATAGTTTCTCCATGATATTATCCAGCAAGGTTCCGTTTTTGTCAAAACAAGGGTTGAGGTAATGAAAAAATAGAAATATTTCATTAAATTAACATTTAAATTATTTATATGCATCATTAAAATAAAAAAAAACATGTTTTGAAATATATAAAGTGCACCAAACTTTACTCAGTCCATTCAACAATTCTAAATGGACAATTATGTAACTCATCAATTAATTATTTGAAAGGATAATTTGTCAATTAAATACTGAAAAAATAAACAATACATTAATGAAGCAAGAACTTCTCTCTCTCTCTCTCTCTCTCTCTCTCTC